CCAAATAAGGGGACTGAAAGCTGTGCAGCAGAGTGTGTTATCCCAGGCAGTTTCTCGGAAAGTCAGGGCTGGGATTAAGAGGGGTAAGCAATGCCATCATGTACTTTCTGCCAGTTCGCAGCAAAACTTAGGATGGGCCAGCTCTAAGGATGACTATCACAGCTTCTTGGCTCCATCCAGAAGGATATCCACAGCCTTTGTCTTCAGACAAAGTCCCACTGAAATGAGTGTGGCGCCCTTGAGGCAGATCTTCCCATTGCACAGGTTGATTCCTGACTGAAACAAAAGAGCTTCTGGAATTCTAGAATTTGGGAGGGGGTGGGAATAGGAGTGTGAAGGATGGAAAGGGAGAGCAAAATGAGGGAGAATCAGTTTTTCTCCTGACCTTCTTTTATTAGTAGTAGCAATAGAATTGTTTTGCATAAAGTCCACAAATTTGCTAACTTGGGTACCCATTTATTTGATTTTTTAAAACTAGTCATTTATGGCTTAAAGAAGCTTTTCTTTTTTTTTAATAAATGTTATTACAGCTTTTAAAAAGAGGATAAAAACTAACAAAAGCTAATACAGGTAGTTCTCACTTAATGAACACAATAGGGACTGGAAAAATTTTTGTTAAATGGGGCGGTTAATTGAGTCACACCCAATTTTATGACCTTTTTTGCAGCAATCATTAAGTGAACCACCATGGCTGTTAAGTGAATCATGCAGTTGTTAAGCGAATCACACGGTTCCCCATTGATTTTGCTTACCGAAAGCCATCTGGGAAGGGATGTTGCAACCGTCGTAAGTGCGAGCTGGTTGTCAAGCACCCGGATCATGATCATGTGACCATGGGAGTGCTGCGACAGTTGTAAGTGCGAGGATCAGTTGTAAGTCCCTTTGTTCAGCACCATTGTAATTTTGAACGGTCACTAAACAAATGGTTCTTAAGTGAGGACTACCTGTACAAGTTAAAGGAAGAAAAGAAAGGAAAAAAGAGAAAGAAAGGAAAGGACAAAGGTGCAAAAAGAAAAGATGAAAAGAAATAGATGAAGCTTTCAATTTCTTTTGTAGCAAATATAAGTATGATTACAAAATTATCTCTTACTCCATGGTTACAAAAAAACTCTCTTTTTTTCTTTTATCTAATATTTTCTAGTCATCAAAACCACAAATCAAAAGTTTATTTTTTTCTGTTTCATGCAAAAAGTCTATAAGGGGTTTCCAATCAACAAGAAATGTAGATGTTGTATTTTCTCTAATCAAAGAAGTCAATTTAGCCATCTCTGCAAATTCCATCATCTTCAACCATTCCTCCATTGTGGGTAGTACGGAACCTTTCCACTTTTGAGCATATAATAATCTCACTGCATTTATCATATATGGCTTAAAGAAGCTTTCCTGGAGAGTTTTTGACTTGTTTGCTAGAGACAATTGTTATGCACTAGAAGCAAGTAGGGAAAGACTTATTTGCAAGTTTATTATGGTATATTTGTCTTTTCTTCAAGAGGTTTGGTATAATGGATATCCCTCCCTCCCTCCCTCCCTCCCT